TAGGAAACTTTCAGTAAATATTTGTTGAATGAATAATGAGAAACCAAGTAGAAACACCAGAGGTTACACATAACACCAGGGACGCAAAAGAATCCACGACTAGGAGGCTTTTCCAGATCCCTAAAACCCCTTTCCTCTCCAGTCCTTGGAAATGGGATTCAAACTCTTCATTTGGAATCCTCCACGCGTAACTTTCTTTCAGAGACCCCAGCATGGGGACTGGGTGGAGGACAGGGCTTGAGCACATGGAGCCAAGCTGGGGAGTGAGGAAGGAAGGAGACAGGGCACATGCACGTGCGCTCGAGCATACCCACGCACACCTGTCTACACTGCAAAGCTGGTACCCTGACATGCCGGGCTTGGTCAGCGTGGCTCAGGGCCCCAGCAGGCAGTAGCCACACACACGCAGACAGCAAAAGGCTGCCTCCCATGGGTCTAGAGCTGCCTAGGCCCGCTTCTGTCTCAGCAGGTGCTGTATTCAAATGACCGCATCTCCCTGGGGAAATCCAGTGTGAGCAGAGGCCAACCCGTTGAGGTCATCAGCTGCCCATCCCCACTACGTCCAACCCCAGATGGTAGGGAATCAGACTGTTGCCATCTGACAACCACGCTGACAAGTCAGCTACTGAGCTTGCCTCTCCCTCTGTGCTGGGGGAGACGAAAAGAGGGGAAGCTGAGAAGAGGGTAGAGTCATTTGAGCAGGAGGGCCGCTCCACGTGTAGAAGATCCTGAGACAGCCCGAGATGTGCAGCTCAGGGCAGTGAGGCGAACCTCATTCGGGTGTGCTGACCACAGGAGGGCTGGGGCTGGGAGCCACACCGTCCCCGCCGTCTGGGATGCTTGCAGCCCATCACCCCTGCCCGAAGCACATCCCTCAGCCCTCAGTAAGCGTGCTGCTGAACCCATCACCTGAGTGACAGGTCGTCCAAACTGACACCAACCTGTAGACCAGACTCCAAGAGAGTCTAAAAATGGAGACAGAGAAAGAGACCCTGAGACAAATAACTGTGACTCACTCTTTACTTAAGAGCACAGGGTACGAGCAGCTCTTGGGGGATTCAAGGTGGGCTGGGTTTGGGGAGCTCTGCCCCTCTCCACCACTGGCTCGATGAATACAGAAGTCCATGCAGAAAATGCAAGCAGAGTCTGCTAAGTCTGCTCACTTTCCTTAAACGGCTAAATCCCAGATATCTTACAAGTAGGAAATATGCAAACTCCAGAAAACCCCTCATGGTCCTCAACCTTCCCTCGCCGATTACTGAAGCGTCAGCCGGGAATCTCCAGGGTCCTGGGTGCTCAGAAGAAGCAAGCTCCCAGAGAAGGGCCAGGAAAGAATTTCACAAGTGCTCTCCACCCATTCTCCCACTTCATTGTTCTACACCCCAAGGTCTTCCCCAGGAGGCTGAGAACTCCCCTCCCGCACCTCACAAGCAATCCTGCCCAGGAGCCGATCTCGACTTTGCTCCTATCCTCCCCAAATCATCCACGTTCCTTCTCATCAAGACCACAAAAACAGGCACCTCAGGAAAATCCACTCAGGGTAAAGTCACGATCTTGAAACACATTTTGCTCCCCAGCCATGTCCCAGCTGTCCAATCCATCTCTACCTCAGCTTCTGCAGCCTTCTACTGTTCTTAGCAGCAGATCGGCAGAGCTCAAGGGGCTGCTGGCAGCCCTCTTCCTCCCCTCTGATCGTCCTCTGAAGCATCAATAAAACACATGTGGAGGCACGTGTGCCCCCCAACTCCCCAAATACACCCCCCCCTTGCATCTCTCTTCAAGGGCAAGGACCAAAGGAAAAGAAGGGGAGGGGAGCCAGGATGGGAGTGCCCCAGATCAATGGATATTTGAAACTCAAACACATGGCCCGGGACCTATGCTGCACTTGTTAATTACCACACATGTTCCCATAAAGGGGTCCGTTAAACACAAGGGGCCCAAAGAACAGAGCGAGGAAAGGACATTCCAAGGGATTAAGTAAATAGTCTGAAGTTCTGACCCTCCTCCCCTCCCAGAGCACATGCATCTGGGTAAGATAACAGCGCCTCCCTCCCTCCTTCCCCCACTTCTCCCCTCGGGCCGCACACCTGTGGACCCCGAGCCTCAAGCCAGGCCTCCTGTCTGGGCCAGCCGCCTGTGACCTGCTACTGCCTGGCTTCTCTCCCTCCTCCCTTCCTCCTGCTATCTCTTGTTGCCTCCTCCCCCAGCCTCCTCTGCTCAGCCTTCTCCTCCTCTCCTCCACAGGACTAATTCCTGGCTGGCAACCAGACCCTCCGTCTCCACACAATACACCTTTTCATTCCTTGCAGGCAGGGAGAACCGATCCTTCTGAGCCCTGTCAGTGGAGCGGGCTCTGAGGCAAGAAGGTGGGGAGAGGAAGGCCTGGGCCTGCTCCTCCCCTGGCCACCCCCGGCGGCCCCCACCACTCTCACACCCAGACCCGGGGCGTCCTTGCTGGGTGTGCCTCTCACCCTGCTCGAGGGCCGGGGCCGCAGCAGGCCTCAGGGCTGTGAGCCCCAGCTCTAGGGAGATCCCGTCTAGGAAACCCCACGTGTGGGCACCAGCTCAGACAAGGGGCCTTTGTGTCTTCCCACCTGCTGCCCTCCGGAGCACATTCCATTCTTAAGTGGCAGCTGAGAGAGAGACCTCGGCGGCCGACACAGGATATTACAAAAGCCCTCTCGCACCCTGTCCCCCTTCCAGCTCCAGCTTCCTGGACAGGTGTGGCTTCAGGTGGTCCTTCCTACAGGTGGCCTGAGCCTGCTTTTCTCCGAGCTGCCCGCGGCAGACAAAGAGGAGAGGATTAGCACCTAAGGTGATCCTTTCCAAAGTAAAAGGAAGGAGAGGCTCTGGGCAAAAGTCAAGTCTCCAGGGACGAGGGCACCCTAGCATCCCCCACCAGGCCTCTGCACCAAAGAGAGGCTCTGCAGAACCATCTGGGAGGGAGGAGCCCATCCGGTGTAGGCGAGCAAGCTGCTGGAAACTAAGCAACTTATCTCTGCGATGAGGCTTCAGACTCTATGCCCCTATTCCGTGCACCGTCCCTGGAGGAATCAGGTGTCCCTGTCCTCTCCCAGCTGGATCAGCAGGAGCCCGCAATGGCTACGGGTCTGTTTCTTTTGTTGTCCACAGGGTGCAAAGCCACAGCAACGTGGGAAGTCCTCCCCTGTACAGTTTAAGATCCCAGACCCCACGGTCCACCCTTCTCGGCGTGGGAGCTCCATTCAGCATCACGGCTTCAGCTCCCTTTGGTGGGGGAAATCTGGGCTGTCGGTTTTGCACGATTGCCGATTGCCTTTTACTATTGCCTCGATCTCGTGCCCCAGAGCAGAGGCGATGTTCCTGAAGTCTTCAGTTGCAACAAGTCAAATTGAAGGCGGCTCCCCATCGCAACTCCAATAAATTGCAGACAGAGACACAAGCCATGCACAGTGTTGAGGAGTTCAGATCTTTGCAGGAAGAAACATTCACACCCCTCTCCCACTTTGCCACCTAGAAGGGAACTGCCAACAGGCACGGCTGCCTCTCCCTGTTCTGGGAAGGACCTGGAAAGGCATCTGCTCCCTTCTTTTTACCCCCATAGGCATTCCTGCTGGCAGGAAGGCCCATTGGTCCGTGTTTTCTAGTGGGATCCTGATACTCCATTTCCACGTCCTCTTGGAACACCTGCACTCAGCCCAGCAGCTTCTCCAGAGTCTCATTTCCTGCATTCAGGGAGGGTGGTTTTGCCTCCTCTTCCCATTCCCATGGGATAAGCATGTAGGGCGGGCTCCAAGGCCTCGCCTCAGTCTCCCTGCGACCACGGGTGCAGGTCAAGCCCATGTACCTCACGCTAATCCTACCCAGGCCCGACGCTCCATGTGGACATTTAAGAACATGAAGTCCCCAAGGCCCAGACACAGGTGCGAAGCCTCAAACTCAGCTACCATCTCCTGGCTGGGCTTTTACCCAAGAGCCCGAAACAGCAGTCCCGGAGTGCTTGCACACGCAATGACATTGGCATTGGTTCTGCCTGCAACTGCTAGAGCGCGCTTGCTCTCTCCCCCTCTCTTTCCCTCTCTGTTATCCCGGTGGTGAAGCCCAGTGTGTCTCACACTGGAAATGTGGTCAGGACAGCCCAGGGACCTAGTCCTCATGTTGGCTGCTCCACTAAGCAGCACTCAGACAAATGCCTTAATTGAGGTTAGCCGCATAATTTGTAGGGCCCGATGCAGAATCAAAATGCAAGGCCCTTTGTTCAAAAAGCAGGAAAATAGTGCCACGAAGGACACTGAACTGCACAGTTTGATCCTCTCTTCCATGGTCTCTCTCCTGACTTGTTTTAAATTTTTCCATTTAATGTTGTTCTACGTAAGAAGGATTAAAATCTGCAGCGTCCCGTGGAAGCCCCACAGCCCGCACCACAAAAGCGATACGCCGACGGGGTGACAAGGACGCGCACACACGCGCCTCCCGGTCCCGCTGGGCTTTCCGTAACAGAACACAAGTTCGAAGACAGGATGATTAAGAATTCCAAAACAACAGCAGCACGGGTTGCAAGCCTGTGAAGCCAGTTTCCTCTTAGTGAAGAAAATCTGATGTACCAGAACAGTTATTAGGGAGAATCAGCGAGGGACCAAAGATGTTCAAACCAGTGTTCAAAACAAGAGAGTCGGGACAGACTTGGACATGACTGCCTTCGCATCCTTTTCGGTTGCCTGCTGCCTACCTGGTAGCTGACTGCTTGAACGGCCCAGGAACCAAGGTTCTCAGGGTCCCTGCCAGCTCTGTATGCTGTGCTCACTCACCTCCCTCAGAAATTCTGGAAGCGTGGACCCCCACCGCCGTATGAGCCTTACTTACCTCCTCCCAGTCCTTCTAGGAAGAAACCTAGAATAGGAATGGAGATTTTCTGTGGGGGGATTTTTAGCCTACACCCAGGCTCCTTCCATCTTGTCTAGAACTCTTCTTGGACTGGCTTTAGAAGCAAACATTTGGATAGAGCATAAAACTCTACTCACCTTTCCTTCCTGAGTTACCCTGGCTCAAGGGCTTGTCGGTGACTGAACCTTGGGTAAAAGGGAAACACAAAACACAGACATTCAGAACGTATCGTGGTTGGTTTCTTTCAAAGAGCTGGCAAAGCCTGCAGCTGTAAGCATATGGTTATGTGTATACATGCACTGTATACATGTCTGGGGACATTATATACAAAGAACGGACATACACGTCCAGTGGTGTTTGCTTCACGTCAATGTCACTGATATCGCAGTATCAGTGAGATGAACCATGATCTCCCGGCAATAATCCTGACCAGATTTTTACAAAACTTCCCTCCACAGAACTCCCTTGGTGAAGGTTCCAGTCACTGCCCCTCACCTCCACTCCCCATCTCCCCCACATCCCGCCACTGCCGTGCTCTGAGCCATATCCAGTCAGTAGGGCCAACTGAAAAGAAGCCCCTCTTACTGAAAATGCAATGATTGACATCCCTCGCTGGTTAGGGCAGGAAATCGGCGATTTTCCATCTGCATTAAGTAGAAAATTGTTGGCCCAATTGTATTGAGTGGGCCAAAATAGTCTGAGGCATGGAAACAATTTTCTAGACGCAGCCTATTCCTCAAAGAGGGTACAGTGTGTGTGTTTGGCCAAACGCTTTGCCCTGCGTCTGCTAGGACGCCATGTGCACCCATCCTGCGGTCCGGGCCCTGTGGCACCTGTCTTCTCCCTGAAGCCCACACATGCAGGCCAGAGACAGCACACCCACGTAAGGACATCTGCGGAGGTCTGGCCACGAAGAGGAAAAAAAAAAAAAGGATTCCCTCTTTTCTCATTCTGTACCATACCTTTTTCTCCATATATTAGTTTTGTGAGAATTCAATTATATTACTCTGCATGTCTTGTTTCTAGTGCATTTGTTTGCTTTACATGAAACTTTCCAGGACATTTGCAAGGAGGGCTCATTCCTGCTTCTCCCCACACCAACCCCAATTAAGGTTTCCAGTTTCCACGTAAACCACAAATAAAGTAAACTTTCCATTTTGGCCTGCAAATCTTGGTTTCCTAATGTAGATGCTTACTGCCTTTCTTACCATTCCCTTATATAGCAGGGCCGGTAGAAAAATGAATAAAGCTTGTGAAAAAAGAAAAATGTTAGGATAGCAGGGCTGTTGGCCCTTGGCATTTCCCATAGCCTTTAGAACAATGTTTTATCCTTTGTTTGCACTTAAAAATTAAAGATAAGTAAATAAATAAAACCTCATAACACACAGATACGAAGAAATATGAAGTGGCTGGTGGCTGGACGGGCTTTCTTGAGTGAGGGCTGAGCCACACCGTGAATTAAGGGAGGGACCCCAAGTCCTTCACCATCTGAATGGAAGTAGGAAGTGTGGGGCTTGTGTAAATCCAAAATCCATGATCCCGTGGGTTGACCTAAGAGCAGAATTTCTCTATGCTCGTAGAGTCGGCAAGAGAAAGGACTTAATGTCTCAGTGGACTAGTGTAGTGGGTCGCTATGAAGCAATGATCCCCTCCCTCGTCCAGTTATCAAAACCACCTCAGAAGCTTCGCAGAGAGGTGGACTCCGGGTCTCACTCTAGACCTGCTGGATCGGATTGTTCTGGGGAGCCTCGACACCTGGGCTCTTTTTAATTCCCTGGGCGCTGCTGCTAACAGCCAGCTTGGAGGGCCACTGGGATGAAAGTTTCCATTCCTCTACATTACGTTGTTGGGGGGAGGAGGAGCAAATATATGGCACCCAGGCCACCACGTCCTCATCGTGTGCCCGTGACGGACATCACTTGTCGATCCTCCAGTCTTTGATGCCGAACTCCCATTCGGTTTTAAAAATCTGTCTCAACAAAGTGCTCCCAAGACCGCTAGCAGCCAGAGTGCCCCGGCTGAAAGCTTAGATGCCATTCTCTAGGAATTCCAGCCAATGCTTGGGAAGAGAGCGTCGAACCAGAAATCTCAACTCAAAATAAGGAAATATATACCCATAGGCATATACTGAGCCGTAGCCCAGTGGACCGCAGAGCAGGTGTGTCAGCGTGGAACGCTCTCTGACCTGGAAGAGGGCTCATGACCACCCGCCATCTTTCCACCAAGTTTCCAAGGTTCCCCCACGAGATGCAGGAGACCAGCGGAGGGGTCTCTCTCCAACTCTTTTCTTTCTTCCCACCCCTCCCTACGGTACCTGAACATACAGGAGTTTTATTCTGCACAGAAGAGCCACTGATGGGCTTCCCATCTGCGGTGACACACCAGCAGTACCCTGTGTAAGTATGGCACTGCACCTGTTCAGGGAAGCGGGGAGGAGGAAGAGAACCGTAAGTTGTGGGTCACCATATCAACAGTCAGCTCCCACCCCTACCAAAGCCTTGCCACCGTGGCGAAGGAGCTCCTTCCACCTCTCACCTAACACCTGTCCCAACTACCTCCTGCAGGTGGGTCAGTCAGTCGACAACATGGATATGTGTCTTCTGTGGGAGCCCCCAGGCCCAACCACAGCAACCTACCTACGTCTTCCTTATGACTTTTAATGCTGAGTATCTTAAATCCTATCGACAGGTCCACTTTGTCTTTCCTGTGAGGGTTCTCACCAAGACCTGAACATTTCCCCCCGCCAAGCATTGGCATATACACTCCCATCCATCTGTAATAAATTCGGGTGGTGAACTAATCTGGCAAGTATAAGTTGGGATGTCACATGGGGGGCTGAAATGACCCTTCCTTAACTAGCAGTACAAGTAGTGGGCTCTTCTTCTTCTAGCTTCTCCCAGCATCCGGTCAGACAGTCGGCCTGCCTACTACCCAGGTGGCTCTCGCGAGACCAGGGCACACACTAGCAGTTGCCCATGAGATGACGGGGGTAAGGTAAGAACAATGTCACTTGACTCTGCAGCTTCTAGTTCGAGATGCCCTGCTGCCCCTCTGTGTAATCATCCTCAAGCCTCCACACTTGGGTCCACCCCGTCTGGGAATAGTAAATTAAAATGAGGCTTTTGCTTCATTTGGGTAACTATTCTCTCTCTCCCAACAGCTATCACTCTGTTCACCTCCTCTCACCCCAGCGCCCCTCTTTCCCACCCATTTTGCAATGCGGAGTTCCTAAACACAAATCAAGGCATCACTCCCCTGCTGAAAACCACTCTGTGATTTGCCACTGGATTAGGATAGAGATTAAGCTCCTGTATGTGGAGCTCAATCCCCCATGATCTGCCCCCTGCCTATCCCCCACAGCCTCATTTTACACCCATGTCTTCACATATACCCTCCAATGGAACCACACTGAACCCTTCCAAGCCTGCAAACACATGCTAGGATTTTATGATTCTGAACATTTGTTTGCTCCAAATATCCAGTGGTCCGGGATACCATTCCCCAACACATCCCCAACCCCCTCCTTGTCCCTTTGTGTTCCCGCCCACTCTGTGATACACTTTCTCTGCAAAGCAATCCCAGCTTCCCCGCCTTCTCTTCTCCTGACCCTCCACATACCCTGGCTCTCTAAATTCAGAGCCCTTATCTCCCCCACCAAGACTGTGACATTCTTAAGGCAAGGGACTGCATGCTGGTTATTTTCTACCTCCTAAGCATCTAGCAGAATGCCTGACATTTACTGTAGGCATTTGATGAGTTGAATAAGTGCTTCATTATCATATTTTCTCAATTCTTGGTCCCCATCAATTCTAAAAATGTAGCATCCATTTAAACAGCCCCACCACATTAAACACGGACCTCAATGACAGGATGGGTGCCAGTGCAAAGACATTAACATGTGAAAAAAAAAGTGCTTCTTGGGATCAAGGACATTTTGGAATCAAGGATAGACAGTAACAGCATACAAACTGGCTAGTAAAGTATATAGGGGTAAGGCAAGAGAGATCTGATGGTCTGGGTGAAATCCAGAAATTATCGGTAAGGCAGAAAAGCTCCACAGTGGCTTCTGCTCTTCTATGGGTACCAAAAGCTATAGTTTTCCCCAAGACAAGGTGTTGTACTACAGACCTACCCATAGAAATCAGGACAAGAACAAGATGGGGGCATCTTACCAATATGATAACTGGATATAAACGAGGCATTTACCTCCACTGCTCCATGTAAAGAAACTACATTCAGTGCCCTTGTTCCAGTACCATATTTTTGTCCCACTTCATCTCATGGAGACATCTGTAAACCCAATGGCTATGGTTGCTGCCACAGATGCTCACCCAAGATCAGTATCTTGGGTTGAGTCAGCGCTACCTTCTGAGAAAGCCTAATGACGGAGTGGAAGAAACCCAGATAGACCTGGGTTTGAATCTGGATCCAGCCAGTTACAAATTAGGCATGTTACTTAGCTCTCTGAGCCCCATCTATAAAATGGGGAGAACACCGCCAAACCTGGAGGGCCCTGGCAAGGGAAACAGACAGGGTGAGTCCAGTGCCTGGCACAGGAGAGGGCTGGGTACAAGGTGACCACGGTGATGATTGCTCCCAGCTGTGTCACAGACACCTGGCAAGCCAGCCCCGTTCCGGGCCAGAGCTCCCTGGTAACCTCCAGAGGTTTGGGTGGGAAACGCTCCTGGAAACTTGGGAGTTTCCCCCTTCAGATTTTGTCAGCCCTGCAGGGGATAGTTGCTAGATGATTCCTCACCAGTGGCAGCATTTTAATGGAGCCTGGCTGGCTGCTTTCTCCTCCCCAGCCAGTAATCACCTGTGGGGAAACCAGTCCCCGGGGCTGGGCGGCCACACTGACTCAATCCCAGGCCCCTTGGCTCCCATGGCCAGAGCCAGCTTCCCTCTCCATGAGGACTCTACCTCCCCACCCCAAGTCCAACACTGGTGCAGTCCTCTGGCCCAGTGCTGTCTGCTGGGGCTGGGTGCTGTGGTCACACAGGCTGCGCGGGAACGGCTGGACAAAAGCCTCCTCCACCCAGGCACGCAGAGTCCCAGCCAAAGCTACTGAAGAGTGAATTAAATGCACGACTATGAGGCTAAACCCAACGCTTTGTTTCAGGGGCTATAATCTGACCTCTGGGCTAAGCAGGTTCCTGGGGCCACAAGCTCACTGAGTGTGCCCATTGTATCCCTACAGGCATGTGGATGCTGCCTCCCAGCCCCCAGCCAGGCCCACAGGCCCAAACACAGCCCCATTTTCCCCAGGGCTCTCAGCATTTTCCTCAGACCAGGCTCCAAGGAATAGACTCCAGATTACAAAATCCTCTGGCTGGGAGGTGCTTCCGAATCCTAGAGAACTAGAATTGAATGGAGGAATTATTGCCATGCTCCTTGGACATGCAGTAATGGGCTCACAGAGGACCCGGGTAAGGTCTCGGGCTGCAGGAACCCAGCAGGTGACCAGCAAGCACTTCCCTTTGCCAAAGGAGCCCTATGTTATTCGCCCATGATTCTCGACCAAGAGGTTGTTTGTAAGCTGTTTTGGGTGGGCGGGGGGGGTTTCCAAGAACTCTTCTAAAGGAAAAAGAAGTTAGGTGGAGAAAGAAAGCAAGGGTCATGGAGTCAGACTGCGGCCCACTTAACTAACTAGTTCTACCACTGTAGTTAAGTTAGCCACTTACCTTTCAACCCTCTGCAGCCTTGGAAATGTTCTTAATCAAACCAAGCCTCAGACTGCCCCTGTCTACTTAAAAACTGGAGATAATTATGGGGCACCTGGGTGGCTCAACCAATTAAGCATCCAATTCTTGGTTTTGGCTCAGGTCATGATCTCAGGGTTGTGAGATCAAGCCCTGCATCAGGCTCTGTGCTCGGTGTGGACTCTGCTTGAGATTCTCTCTCTCCTTCTGCCTCTGCCCCTTCCTCAGCTCGTGCTCTCTATATCTCTTTAAAAATAAATAACATCTTTAGAAAAATAACAGGAGATAATTATACTTACCTCACTCAGTTGTTGAAAGGATTAAATTAGATAATGTAAATAAAGCACTGAACTCACACAGTAAGTGCCCAGTTAAGCTTAGCTATTTATTTTTATTATCATGTTATTTTTCAGCAGCCTATCTGTACACTCAAGAAGGGCACAGCCACATTCCCTGATGGAAACCAAAGAACATACTATTCTGACCAGTCCCAGGGGAAGGGGTAGTCTAAGTTCAGCAAACAGTTTGAAAAAGTTAGTGGGAGAAGGAAAATTGTGTTTTCATACAGAAGTAGTTCAATTACTCTCAGAGGAGAGAAGTAAGGCTTCTTGCAGAAAAGCAGTCAGGCTATAAATTCTATAGAATTGATGGTTTACATACACATAATCAAAGTGCAAATTCTACCAAGTTTGGTTTCCTACTTTGACAACTTATTTAACATTTTAAATTAATAAGTAATCCCTTTTGTTCTACCTCCCGCAACCCCAGCCTCAAATTAATCAACTTTCATATTTAATGGGAAAGTCATGGGCCATGAGGAATTGCAAAGGTAATGAGCCATTTCTAGGATCTCACTGTGCAGCTCTCAAAGCTCAGGGCTGATCGAGTATAGATACAAACATACAAACCATGGAGTTTGCTCCTATTCTCTCTGGAGCATGCTGGGAAAGCTGAAATGTCAACTGATGGGTCTTCCTTCAGAGACAAAAGTGTTTATATATCAACCTAAGTGAAATTACTCATTGCTTAACTATACTGTTGAATATGACTGGCATACTTAATATAGGCTTTTATACACCGAGGACATTGTATGTGAACCTCACAGTAACCATAAATCCAAAACCTAGGATTGATACACACACACAGACACACACATGAAAGAGAAAAAAAGCCAAACATAACACTACAGGAACTCAACCATCATAAAGAAAGAGAACAAAGGGAGAAAGGAACAGAGAACAACAACAAAACAATGAGAAAACAATTAACAACATGTCAATAAATCCTTACATATCAATGATTATTTTATTTATTTTATTTATTTTTTTGAAGATTTTATTTATTTATTTGACAGAGATCACAAGTAGGCAGAGAGGCAGGCAGAGAGAAGGGGAGAAACAGGCTCCCCGCTGAGCAGAGAGCCCGATGCGGGGACTCGATCCCAGGACCCTGAGATCAAGACCTGAGCTGAAGGCAGAGGCTTTAACCCACTGAGCCACCCAGGCACCCCTCAATGATTATTTTAAATGTAAATGGCCTAAATGCTCCAATCAAAAGACATAGGCTGGCAGAATGGATTAAAAAACCAAAACCCATCTAAATGCTGCTTACAAAGAGACTTCTCTCAGACCTAAAGATACAAACAGAGTGAAAATGAGGGGATGAAAAGATATTTACTATGCAAATGGAAGTGAAAAAAGAAGCCAGGGTAGCAA